GGAAGGTGGGCGGGGCCTCCCGGAGAGGAGCGGGGCCCGGGGGGCGTGGTCTACTGGAAAGGGGCGGGGCCTACGGGTGTGGGGAGGAGCCAGCCCCATAGAGAGGGGTCCCAGCCCCACAAAAAGGGGTCCCAGCCCAACAGAAGGGGGTCCAGCCCCACAGAGAGGGGTCTCAGCCCCATGGAGGGGGGTCCCAGCCCCACAGAAAGGGGTCCTAGCCCCACATAAAGGGGTCCCAGCCCCACAGAATGGGGTCCAGCCCCACAGAATGGGTTCCCAGCCCCATAGAAATGGGTCCCAGCCCCACAGGAAGGGGTGTCAGCCCCATAGAATGGGCTCCCAGCCCCACAGACAGCCGTGCTGGCCCCATAGAGGGGTGCCAGCCCCACATAAAGGGCTCCCAGCCCCATAGAAAGGGCTCCCAGCCCCACACATTGGGCTCCAAGCCCCACAGAATGGGGTCCCAGCCCCATAGAAAGGGGTCCAGCCCCACATAATGGCGTTCCAGCCCCACAGGCGGCCATGCTGGCCCCACAGAGGGATGTCAGACCCACAGAATGGGCTCCCAGCCCCATAGAAAGGGCTCCCAGCCCCATGGGGAGGGCTGCCAGCCCCACAGAATGGGCTCCCAGCCCCACAGAAGGGGGTCCTAGCCCCATAGAAATGGGTTCCAGCCCCACAGACAGCCATGCTGGCCCCATAGAGGGGTGCCAGCCCCACATAAAGGGGTCCCAGCCCCATAGAAAGGGCTCCCAGCCCCACAGAATGGGCTCCCAGCCCCACAAAAAGGGGTCCCAGACCCCTGGGGAGGGCTACCAGCCCCACAGAATGGGTTCCCAGCCCCACATAAAGGGGTCCAGCCCCACATAATGGCATCCCAGCCCCACAGACAGCTGTGCTGGCCCCATAGAAGGGTGCCAGACCCACAGAATGGGCTCCCAGCCCCACATAAAGGGGTCCAGCCCCACATAATGGCATCCCAGCCCCACAGACAGCTGTGCTGGCCCCACAGAGGGGTGCCAGCCCCACAGAATGGGCTCCCAGCCCCACATAAAGGGGTCCCAGCCCCACAGAAAGGTTTCCCAGCCCCATAGAGAGGGGTCCCAGCCCCATGGAGAGGGGTCCAGGCCCGCAGAAAGGGCTCTCAGCCCCACAAAAAGGGGTCCAGCCCCACATAATGGCATCCCAGCCCCACAGACAGCCGTGCTGGCCCCATAGAGGGGTGCCAGCCCCACAGAATGGGTTCCCAGCCCCATAGAAAGGGGTCCCAGCCCCACAGAATGGGCTCCAAGCCCCCCGGGGAGGGCTCCCAGCCCCACAGCTAGATGTGGGGCTGGTTCTGGTGGCGGCACCGTGGGATCCGTGGGGCTGCGGCACCCCAGAACCGCAAGGACTCCCCGCCCCACGGCATCTATGGGGCTGGCCCCCCCCCTGTGTGGGGCTGGGCGCGCCGCCGCCGCCGGCACCTTTGGCAGCACCCAGCCCCACACCTGCCCCCGCCGGGGGGGGTTCCCAGCCCCATAGCGTAGGGTGAAGGGGCCCCAGCCC